CAAATTCGCCATCTCCCACGCCTATTCGATGTAAAATCTGAAATCCGGGAGTAAGCAGGTGACTGTGAGCCCGGTTACCCCCCCCCCCCATGAATGGTAATGTAGTGGGGGGGGGATGGCGGACGTAAAGCGAAGTTCATCAGATCAGTGATGAATGCCGGTGAATAGGAGCGGCTGCGCTTGACGCAATGAAACTATTTTTGATGTTGCCCCCATTAAATAAAAACGGGTCGTCACCAGAATGAGCTTCGATTACGAAAATTGTTGTAGAGCTCTTGGTCCTCATTCGATCAGGGTTCCTAGTTCGCGACATGGCGACTTCTCGATCGCGTCAGTAGGCGATTCTGCGAATAGCGGTGGAGCGCGTTCGACATTATTTTTCCAAATGGTTTCCTCGTCCTCCATGGATCATCACAGAAGTACCCAGTCTTGTGGTTAGTGCGACCGAATTACCGATATTGCAAGGGGAGGTTACGCGACGGCGCAACTATGCCGCGACTATGTCTTGACATGTCTTTTCAAAACTTTGGAGTGAGATGAACACCACTTTCAAATGCACAAGCGCACGAAATATGCCGTGAATCGCTTTACAACTGTTTCGGACATTCTCTCGGTGAGAGGACGCGGACAAGCAAGCACGACGTACCATAGTCGCACCGCCGCATGCTTTTTTAATCAACCCAAAGCTTTTATTTTACGATAGTTACTCTTTACTGCCCCAGTATTCCGAAATCATGCCGAGAAACACTGTGGGACAAGACAGCACCTCTCGGGTTTCCTGCCATAGTGATCCTTTTCTTTGCTAGGGGTCGCGTTTTTGGCGCGGGCGCCAGTTGTTTCCGGCCAAGCAGATGTATATTCGTGTTCAGGTGATTGATTACCTCTAGGGACAAGTTTTCAGCGACTTTGATGACTTGAGGTACTTTGGCTCCGGCACCTGTCCCGCGAGCGCCAGGCGGTTTTGGGATAAGCGGGTGCAGAATTCGTATTCAGGAGCTAGAGCTACCTCAGCGGGCAAACGGACGAATTTTCAGCCGAGTCTGCCTTTCCGAGAAAAAATTCGGTGAAAAAACGGCGTGATTTCGGTATATTGAGGGCGGTAAAGAGGACTATTAGCTGCGCATTTACCCATATTGAACGAAGGATGTCGGCGATGTGATAAGCTGGCAGTATGGAGACGTTCGTGAGCTAACTAGGTGCTGCCTGCAACTTGAGGGAAAGGCTTTATGGGCAACGAAACTTTCAGGAATTTGGGGATTTGTGACGGTGCTCAATGGCCGAAGGATAATGAAGCCACAAGATACTGAAGTCATTCTGCTCTGACTGTGAAAGACGCCATATTGAGAAAAAAAATCAATTTTGTTATCGTCGCTTTTTTTGGGGAAAATGGATATTAGGGAGTTGAACTGGCTGGTTTTGAGCACTTATTCACCTTTTTGAATGCTCCCTACAAGGAACAACGAACTGGCCTCTTATTTACATTTAACTATTCGGTTTGTTTGGACGTAACGATTAGTTTTTGGCTATCTCTAAAGAAGGAGTTCGTATAGCCATCCTAGTCAGTTGTTCATCGGAAAGCAGGAGGTCCACGGTGTGCTAATCCGGCGGACCGGCAGCCAATCGCGGAACGCCTTGCGTGCTTGTCGCATCTCCTCCTTACTGGAAAGACCGCTTAATGAGTCTAAGTCGCAGACCTAAGTTGGGTTGTCTACCCCGCCATATGAGCAGTGTGTAGACGGCACCTCTTGGCTGTCACAGACTATCCCGGGACAAATTTATTTGCGCGGCACAGCGCGATTATGACGCGTCATTTCTGCTTGTCTTCCTCAACGGTTTGGGGCTCGAATCAGTATGGAAGGGCATAGTTCGCATATTTCTTGCGAAGAAGCTAGCGTAAATGCCCATCCTGTACTATCTAAGTGAGAGGACCCAGATGACAAAAGTCCCATCGCCCTCACCCCACCAACTTGTTATTTCTCCAAGGATTACCTCCGGAATCCGGTCAATCGAATATCCAATTTGTGTTTGATTTCCACATATGACTGGCAGCCATATGAGCAGGGGAATTCTCCGTCAGACAGTCGGAAACGTACGTGAGATCCATCGGGCGCCTATAGACATCATTAATCAACTGAAAGAGGATGGAATGGGCTGATGACTCACCGATATCCTCCAGTAACACAAGACATCTTTCCCCGGTGGACTGGTGAGCGTTTGCCAAGCGTCAGTCGCGATCAGTTCACCGCCACAGGCTGAAAATAAGATCAATTTTAGACTTCAAATAATGAATTAAATTATCAGTTAGTATTGCTAATGGCGCTGATCGGCTTGGAAGGGGCATTTTGCACTTTCACTAGTTCCTTTTTGATTGACGTTAAGTAATGGGACACACTTTCTCGAGACATGTAAACACTTGTAAAGCTGCGGAATTGTTCAAGTAATCCACTTTGATCACGAAAGTCTCACAATGCTTCCTGTTCATGCTTAGCTGACAATGAGTACTATTCGGTGCCCCCACCAAGCCAAACTGCACCTTATTATCGAATTAGCGAATTATCATCAAATTATCTAACACTTTGTTGAATATTTCGTCGAGAATACCACCAACTTCTTTTGTTCACTACTGTACAGCTCTTCTCTTTCAACTTACCTGGAAAGTGAAGGTGGTGTAGTAGCTGATGCAGCCGGCTTACCACGGGTACGGTTCAGGGGTCAAGTCTCGCATGGCATTCCATTTTTACCAGCAAGCCATGTTAACCGTCCAAAGGTGGCCAACTGGTAGCGTACGGACAAGAACACCGATTTATTTGCACTCAAATACCACTGCGGCTCTAAAATGAAGTCGGACGCATGGCGCGTCCAGAAGGGGATTCATCAACTTAAAGCTCTGTCCTTTCCAACCTTATTCAACCTCAGCATGATCACTTTTAATTGAAGTCACTTTTAATTGAAGTCTGCCGCAGCGCATCCAATTAATAAAAGACCTGCAGTAGCGCGTGCCGATCAATAATCGTGCCCTGTATGTCTAAATCGTGCCGAGTCTGTCTGTGGGGAACAGAATTAATAGGACCCAGAAACCCAATTAAGTGGACTACTCTAGTCTATCTAGATTCATATAGAATTCGATACCCTGTTGATCCTATTCTACATTAGTGAAGGTCTCATTTTCAACATGAAATTCCCACTTATTTGCATAATAATTAGTATTTTATTGGAAAGGCCATGAAAACGTCCAACGAATTCACAGTGGGTTTTTGGGTTTTGTGAATGGAGCTAATCAGCAGTGCAGGGCTTCAGGCTTCATTTGCTGTGTTCAATTGACTCGAAGTGTAATTGCTCATTCATCATCCGCTCGATGTGAATCTATCTCAACAACACATAGTCAACACATACATAAACACAGCCATAACCCTTCCATCTCGCCTCTGTCACGAGGCTTTTTCTGATTTAATCGAGCTCAGAAGCAGAGGTTCTGAGAATGGTCGGACTTTGGGGGCAGATCGGTTTGGTGGTGGCACCAAATGGTACTCAACAAAGCACTTCATCTTGTGTAGAACTGTAGATTCTTGTGACCGAAATGGCTCACGTGTACCATTTTGCAGCTTCACACAAATTTACCCGAATAACTAATAGGACTCACTAGAACGAAACCTGTTATTTAAAGGCAGTTGGCACGATAAATCGCTATACAGATGTAGGATTTATACGACTGGCTTAACAGAATTCCGTGACCTCGGACAGGCGCTCCGTGGCGCCTTTGGGTACCCCTATAACGCCCTATCGAGCAACAACATTCCGTCCCAAACGCCTTCCTCGCCCGCCCGCCCACAAACGGACCGTTCCTGACGCTCGTATTCATTCATTTGCTGAGCAAATTATGAAGCAAAGGGATTGGTATGAAGCGGCCGTGATGCTGCATGCA